CCACAGCCTGCAGTTCAGCGTCTTAACCACTTGAGCCACCGCAGCTCCACTTGGTTTCATTAATATAGTTTTATTTACACTGCTTTTAATTGCTAGCTTATTTGTCATGGATTTTGCCTCAGTTTTTTACTGTTGTTTTTTTATGGATTCAGCAAGACAGACGGAAGGCTACATTTTGTTGAAGGGGCAGTGTTTCTTAATCAAATCTCCATCACCACCACCTAATTTTGCTTCACCTGCTGATGTAATCGAAGTGGATGTGTGCTTATGTACACAAGATCAGGGCCTTTCACTCTGGAACACATTCATTTGGAACAACTATCTAAGGTTGACAACTCCAGGTGGGGAAATTCCTGCAGATTTGGGGGTGGGGCCTGGGGTGGGTGGGACCCCAACAGAGTATAGTGCTATAGAGTCCACACACCTGAGCAGCCATTTTCTCCAGGGTAACTGAACTTTGTAGAGGAGTTGTAATTCCAGATGTCCAGGTCCCACCTGTAAGATGGCAACCCTATCCCCCCTCAGTTCTGCACTCACAATCACAAAAACAGGTTAGAACTCCCATTCCACCACAGTACCAAACAAATCTGTTCCAGAAGGAGGAGGAGGAAGAGGAGATTGGAGTTATACCCCACCCTTCACTTGGAGTCTCAGAGCAGCTTACAATCTCCTTTCCCTTCCCCTCCCCACAACAAACACCCTGTGAGGTAGGTGAGGCTGAAAGAGCTCTGACAGAAACGGCTCTTTTTCAAGGACAGCTCTAACAGAACTATGGCTTGCCCAAGGTCATCCAGCAGCTGCGAGTGGAGGGGTGGGGAATCAAACCCAGTTCTCCCAGATTAGAGTCCACGCACTTAATGGGCTGGCTAAACTCTGAACAAACTATTCCATTACACCCAGTCAGCGACATTCTAGTTATATAATGTGTCAGTCCATTTAATTCCAAAATATGCTACATTTCTCACACTGCCCTGATCTTATCCTTATGATCCACTTAACATGAAATATGGCTTGTTCAGGAATAGCTCCAGGCAAGTCTTGATGTGACCACAACTGTTGATTTCACCCCATTTGGCCTATATCCCCTGCAGGGATGCACCACGCCTTCCCCAGAACATTCATAAGGAGGAAAGTGCAAGCAGAATTCCACTCAGTGATCAGTAAAGCTGTTTCAGCCTTCCATAGTTCTGGCCAACTGACATGGGGCAATGGGATGGCCACAACACATTTAGGCACTTGGCACATTTTTGATGCTATTTTATTGAAATAACTTATTTTAATTTAAAAGAACAGCTTTCTTCAACAAGAACCTACCCATATATTTAAATAATTTTGTGTGGCCCTAGACCAGTTTCCCTGCTGTCAGACTTTGAGGGCAAGGGAACGACACAAGACAGGGCCTTTTTGGTGGCAGCACCAGGATCACTGGGATTCTACTTCCTCAAATACCTTTTGTTCCATACCCACTTTTAGAAAATGGGTCATAACAACTTTTTGGAAAGCATGCTTTTGCTTTTCAACATCTATGTAAAGGTGCTAGGAAAGGTCATCTGGAGATTTGGGCTGAGTTGCCACCAATATATAGATGACACTCAGCTCGATTTTGCGCTACCCGCAGATCCCAGGGAGGCCGTGGAAACAAAGAAGATGAGAAGGAAAAGGAAGGAGGAGGAGATTGGATTTATACCCAGCCCTTCACTTGAAGTCTCAGAGTGGCTTACAATCTGCTTTCCCCCCCCCCCCCCGACACCCTGTGAGGTAGGTGGGGCTGAGAGAGGACTTTCGAGAACTGCTCCTGAGAGGACAGTTCTGAAAGACTGAAAAACACAATATGCTCTACATCTTACAACAGCACTACAGATAAGATGAGAATTTCAACAGCCAATCAGGCTTCCCAAGTACTTACCGTGATTCGGCGGGGGACACAGACGTCCTCGCAGGATCATTCCTGCAGGGACAACAGATGCGCTGCACCATGCTGTTGCCAGGAAGTGATGCCAGGCGCGGGTCTGCCAATGGGGCTGGAAACTCGATGGTACCATTGAGTTTTCAGTCCCATTGCCAGAGCGTCACCCAGCGTCACTTCCTGGCGACGGCATGGTGTGTTACAGGGAGGAATGGTCCGGCTGGAGAGCATGTTTCCCCCGCCGGATCACGGGAAGTACTTGGGAACCCTACAGCCAATCCATATGCAAAAGAACCTCCTCAGGAATGCTCCTCCATTAGCATGTCACAGCCTGGGAAACCCCTACAAGATAATAGCCTTACCCCACCTTCCTGAGTAGATATAAATTACCTGCCTAACTTTTTTCTTCTCACCTTGACACAGAGAGTACTCTATCTTTCTGTGTTATACCTCTGAGGATGCCAGTTACAGCTGCTGGCGAACAGGTACTACAATGCCAAGACCACGGCCATACAGCCTGGAAAAGCTACACCAACTAAAGTTCTGAAAGAACTTGTAACTGACCCAAGGGCACACCAGCAGCTGCATGTGGAGGAGTGGGGAATCAAACCAGATTAGAGTACGTGCTCTTAACCACTACGCCAAACTTACTCTCTGAACAGGTGTCTGGAGGCTGTTTTGAAATAGATGAGGGCTATCAAGCTGAAACTTAATCCCGACAAAATAGAGGTGCTAGTAGTAGGGGAAAGGTTTGACCCAGGAAATGGGATATCTCCTGTTCTGGAAGGCATTTCTCTCCCTCTAAAGGAGCAGGTTTGTAGCTTGGGGGTGCTGCTGGACCCAGGCCTCCTACTGGATAAACAGGTGGCAGTCGCGTGGCCCAGGGGGTGCCTTTCAGCAGCTTTGGCTGGTGAGCCAGCCGTGGCTCTTCCCGCACAGAAAAGCTACTGTGGTATGTGCCATGGTAACATCTAAATTAGATTATTCCAATGTGTTGTATGTGGGGCTGCGCCTGAAGACCATCCAGAAGCTACAGCTGGTACAGAACATTGTGGCCAGAATGTCAACTAGAGTGGATCATAGAAACCATGTCACTCCAGTCTTGTTCCATTCACACAGGCTTCCAGCTTGCTTCCAGGCTCAATTCAATGTGCTGTTATTAACCTTAAAGCCCTGTACAGCGTGGGATCGATATACATTAAGGGATGCCTTCTCCCATATGAACCCACTCCTACCCTTGGGTAATCCCCCAGAGGCCTCGCTTCAGTTGCCCCCACCATCTG